GAGAAGGCAGGGGATGGGGATTTGAGGGGACAGAGACAAGGCCGCCACCCCGAGGTCCCCGGGTCACCGGATCAGCGCCGTGGGTCCGGCTAGCGTCGGTCCGCCGAGCTACTTCCGGCCCTCCAGCTCCGCCCACGAAAGGGCCAGCCGCCGGCCCCGCCCACGAACGGCCCCGCCCGCCAGCGGGCCCCGCCCATGGGCGCACCATTGGCTTCGGGGTTCCGGCCCGCTGCTGGGCGGGTAGCGACGCTACCTCTTTGCTCAACTGGTCTCTCTACTGTTCTCCCTGCTTGTCTCCCTGCTGCTCCGGAGGCGGCGGGAAACGGAACTCCGAAGCCACTCCCTTCTGTTTTGGAGCAATACAGAAACTGGAGCGGAAGGAAAAGAAAAGCCGAAGAAAGCGCTGAGAATCTGATAAGCCATGCTCTGTCGACTACAGGAGGCTGCCTCTTCTCACAAATCACCTCCAGCTTTCCTTCCAACCCTGACTCTAAGATGATACAACTGAACAGAGACCTGTTGTCCCTCACAAAACAAATAACCCCAACCACAGTCTAACCCCTGCTCTCAGCTGCAGCTGAAGGATTAAGTAGGCTCTGCTCCCATTTCACAAGAAAGGAAGGTATCAAAAGACATAAAACCGTGTTGGCTGGCTTGAGGGACAGAATTCCATTCTGGGAACTTGGCCTTTTCTTAGCTCCAGCTGTCAGTCACGGCCCTGTGTGTTTGAAGTAGCCAGGTACATTTGGTCTGCCCCATAGTTGTCTATAAACAGTGGCAGTGGCCGGAGCACATCAGAAAGAGCACTAGACTGGGAGTCAAAAGACCTGAATTTTTGTCTCAGCCCTGTCTTTAATCTGGTTAGGTACCCCATACCCCTGGTTGAACAGGAAGATCACTAACCAGCTCTAACACTCATTCATTCGGTGATGACTACAAATCCTCAAGAACTGAACATGAAACTCAAAGATACTGAATATCTAATCCTCCTTCCCTGAAAGGAGAACAGACAGAGCTGACCCAAACCTAAAACATCAGTGCCATTTGCCTACAGTGTATAGAGCCAGAGAGAGAATATAAATTCTTTTCTAAATTAGAACATTCCATCAAATCCAGACAGTTTTGAAAGCCTTGAAACCTGAAGCAAACATTAGGAGCTGTGTAGAGCTCAGGAGATCAGAGAACCCAGAAGAAACCGCAGACCCAGTAGAAGGACAGTGGCTTACTTCTAGTGACAGAGGGCTGGTGAGCCTGGGTGGCTCAGCCAGTTAAGTGTCTGACTCTGGATTTTGGCTCAGGTCATGGTCTCACAGTTCATGGGATTGAGCCCCACATCTGGCTCTGCGCTGAGAGTGCGGCACCTGTTTGAGAGAATCCCTCCCTCTCTGCCCCTCCCCTGCTTGCGTGTGTGTGCATGCACTCTCTCTCAAAATAAACATTTTAGAGACAGAGAGCTAAGGAATAGTGCTCATCCAATATAACAGCTGAAAGAGGGGCTCAAAAGCCTTCTGTGGGTGCATGGCTGATTGGAACAAATCTAACCCCTCACACCAATAGCCAAGGCCTTCTAATTCTGGTCCCCACCTGCTTCTCCAATCCCCATAGTAGGGTCAAAGGCAGGCTGCCCCAAGATGGACCACTCTGGCATGAAGATTATTTTGAGCTGAAGGCATTTGAGACCCTGCAGACTCAAGAGTAACTTTTACCTCTCCTTTAACTACATAAAAGAATCTAAATTGGCGGGGGGGCAGGGAGGGTCCCAGAACAAGGGTTATTAGCAGAGATAAATTTTATCTGAGTGACCCATCTGTAAGGGCAAACGTCGAATTTAGCCAACATCTGTTCTTCTTCTTATCGTCCTGTGAAGTGTATTTCTTTCCTCTGAAGCCCCAGACTCCTAGGCCCCTTCTCCTTAGTTCAGGATGATGTACATACCTCATTTCGCCTGACTGCCTTTGGAATATCCATGTCTGCGTGGATTCCCCGTATGTACACTACTGAATCTGATTTACTCCTGTTATTCTGTCTCATATCAATTTGATTCTCAGTCCAGCTAGAAGGACCTTGAAGGGGAGAAGAATTTTTGCTTCTTAACCCCATCGGGTCACCCCAAGGACCCTATGCCGTAGTAACACTGAATGACTCAGCATTCCCAGAACTTGTCCTTACTCCGTGGCGTTTTGTTTAACTGTGCCTCCTTCTAGAATATTCTTTCATGCATCTCTGCCTAGTACACCTCCACATCCTTCAAACGCCACTTCAAAACACACAACCTCTATGAAGTCCTTCTCAAGCCTCATCCTTCCTCCTCCCACAAGAACACATCCCTCCCTCAATGGCTCCACAGCACTTTTCATCCTCCTTTACTGTCATATATGTGAAACCTGACTCATTTAATTAATAGTTTATCTCTCACAGTAAACTTTTTGAGGTCCTCCAAGGCAGGGATCTTGTTTTTGTTTATGTACCCACGTGTTGAACACAGGCATATCATGGAGATATGCTTTTCTTCAGGATGGCCTTGGTGCCTGTATCACATCAAGGGTACCCCTGAGCTGGAAGACTGGAAACACCAACTTTTGCTGTGTAGGAGTCAAGAAAGTTCCTCTACTTAGAGAAAAATCCTGAAGAATAAATTGTTTGTATTGAAGTAATCCCAGAGTTCTGCTTTGCTTCAAATTAATATGAAAAAAGCAGAACTTGGCCAGGTTAAAGTAATATTCTTTTTTTTTTTAAGTAATATTCTTATTCAAAATCAAAATTCTTAAGGACAATGAATTTTAAATAAGCATCAGAAGATTTCACATTTCAATGAAAAAGAGATCTAGGTGTTGAAAGAAATGACAGGAACTAGCAACTCGAGTTGGCCTGGCGGTCCCAAGTTCTTCAGTTCTGCTGGCTCTTACCTGGACCAAATGTTGCCTGAAATAAGGAAAGTCACAGGCCAGCCCTCAAAAATTCACTCAGCAGGATTTGTCATCACGAACTCCAAACCTTTAAAGAGAAACAGTATGTGAGAAAGTATCTAAGCACAAAAAATTGAAGCCCAAGTATAAAAAATACACTCCCTGCTCCACTGTGATGGTTAATGTTATGCACCAACTTGACTGGGCTAAGGGATGCTCAGGTAGCTTGTAAAACACTACTTCTGGTGTGTCTGTGAAGGGGTTTCTGGAAGAGATTAGCATCTGAATCAGCAGACTGAGTAAAGAAGATTGCCCTCACCAGGGCAGGTGGGCATCATCCAATCCAATGACAGTCTGGACAGAACAAAAAGGCAGAGGGAGGGTATGTTTGTTATCCGCTTGAACTGGATTTCCATCTTCTCCTGCCCAAGAACATCGGTATCCCTGGTTCTCAGGCCTTCAGGTTTGGACCGGAGCTACATCATCAGCTTTCCTGGGCTTCCAGCCTCCATAATCTTGTGAGCCAATACCTCATAATAAATCTCTTTCTGTCTATCTATATATATTCTTTTGCTTCTGTTTCTCTAGAGAACCCTGAATAATACACTCATGAAAACAAAAAAAAAAAACTTTTTAAACTCATATGAGGGAGCACCTGGGTGGCTCAGTCGGCTAAGCATCCAACTCTTGGTTTCAGCTCAGGTCATGATCTCATGAACAGTTGGTGAGTTGGAGCCCTGCGTTGGGCTCTGCGCTGACAGTGTGGAACCTACTTGCAATTCGCTCTCTCCTCTCTCTCTCAAAATAAATAAATAAAATTAAAAAACAAACAAAAAGGGACTTCTGGGTGGCTCAGTCAGTTAAAGGTCTGACTTTGGCTCAGGCCATGATCTCATGGTTTGTGAATTCGAGCCCCACACTGGGCTCTCTGCTGTCAGCACAGAGCCCACTTTGGATCCTCTGTTTCCCTCTCTCTCTTCCCCTCCCCCCCCAATAAATAAATATTTAAAAACAAACAAACAAACTCATATGTGAGTACACTAGATATTTGATTAAACCAGTGAGTGAGGCATTGTGGTATGTGAAAAAAAAAAAAAACCTGTTCCTTTTAACTTATAACAACCTGACATCCACTTTTTGAAGCATTGCCTAGAACTACTGGAGGAAAAACCAGAGGGCCAGAGCGTAAAGACCTTGCAGAGTCTTCAGGTAGTAGAAGGTGCACCTTTTGCGGGGTCCAGAGGACCAAGTTCATGCATCTGAGACATGGGTTCTGGTCATCTGAGCTGGCAGGCCTCCGGGTCCTTGGCTACAAGCATACAATGGAGAATGTGGCTACGAAGGGGCCAGAGTTGGGCTGGGGCGAGGTGGAGCGTTCACCCACAGCTGAGAGTACCTCCTGATGAAGCCCTGCCCATCTCTGGACCCTGTGGCAATAGATTCCTGACTTCTGCTTCACTCCTGTGTGCACTCAGCTCTTCCAAAGTGAGGAAGATTAAGCTCAACTTCAGCATCCTCCAGCCGTGGCCGTTTTCACTCGTGGACTTCCCTGGTAGGAGCAGGCCTCTCCGCCCATAGCCCCAAGTCAGCACTGGGCAGAAAGAGGGAAGGTGAGTCTCAAGGCACAAAATAATGGCTTTGTCCTATCTCCTTGATATGATGGGATTATTATACAAGACCATTTTCCAATGGAAATCTTTGTCCTCACTGAGTCCTCAGGCCTTGTTCTCTTGTGCCCCTTTGGCAATTTCAACGGACAAGAACTTTAATGGGAGTGTGTGTGTGTGCTCGGGGTTAGTAAAAACCTCACAGAATTCAACCACACAGAAATCTCAGTCAGATTTTTTTTTAAGATTATATGAGAAAAGAACAAACTGACAAAGAACTGATGTCAAGAATTTAGCATTTTAAAAATCACACACAGGGGCGCCTGGGTGGCTCAGTCAGTTAAGTGTCCGACTTTGGCTCAGGTCATTATCTCATGGTTTGTGAGTTGGAGACCCACATCGGGGTCTGTACTGACAGCTCGGAGCCTGGAGCCTGCTTCGGATTCTGGGTCTCCCAATTTCTCTCCCCCTCCCCTGCTCACCCTCTGTCTCTCTCTCAAAAAAATAAATGTTAAAAATGTTTTTAAAATAAAAATCACACACAATTTCCAGCTTTACAGTGAGATCAGTGCTTTCTAACAGTGACCCAGAGGAAATGCAAAGATTCCCATCCAAGATAATGAGTATCTCTAGACAGGCCAATAAAATGATGGCATTTGGAACAATTTAGATTTGAAATAAAAGAGCTGGCCAAT